CTCCCAACTTTCTGCACCATTTCCCCTCATGTCATTACTCACGAAGGCTCCCCTGAATGTTAAGGACTGCAAATAAAAGAGAAGAATGTATAGACCAGTGAGGTCTAGGAAATTTTTTTTTCATGAACAGGGAATGGAAAGTAGAGTGAAAAATATGTCTTGAACTAATGAAGTTTGACACAGTAGAGAGAATTGGTGGACACTTACTATCTCCTACGGTACCCAAAAGAGCAAAACTTCTTTATTATTTTAAGAACTCCCTTACTCTATGCCCTTCACGTATTTTCTCCTACAGCCATAGTATTAAAAGCCTCAGTATTTCTGAGATGGTGATTTTTCTAACTTTGTAACTGATGATAGTAACATTATTGGGATTACAATTATAAAATTATTGGGATTATCCAGCAGTGGCTGGTGGGACAGAATCTAGAAATTTCTATAAGGAGCAGGTGAGAATGTCTTACTGTAACACAGAAAGCCTGTTCATGCATTCTACAAGTATTTGCTGAGTAACTACATTAATAAAATAGGAAGATAAGGCTTTTGGATAAGATCATTTTTTAATACAAATTAATCCTTTTGTGGCATTTTTACTTTAAAAAATTAGTTGGGGCGCCTGGGTGGCTTAGTCAGTTAAGCATCCGACTTTTGCTTAGGTCATGATCTCGCGGTTCGTGGGTTCGAGCCCCGCGTCGGGCTCTGTGCTGACTGCCAGCTCAGAGCCTGGAGCCTGTTTCAGAGTCTGTGACTCCCTCTCTCTCTGACCCTCCCCTGCTCACGCTGTCTCTCTCTCTCTCCTAGAAATAAATAAAACATTAAAAAAAATTAGTTACCAGTGCTATGTATTAATAGGGAACACTAAATCAAAATCACAGATAATGAGGTTTAGTGTGGGTAATGCAGTGGAGATAACAAACCATTAAAAAAAAAAAGTTCCAGACTCCTCAGGCTAATTTCTTTTTCTTTTCCTCATGTTGAAGCCTTAATTTGTGGAAAAAGTGGATATAAACACAAAGAAACTAATGGAGTTGAATGTCACGGTCTCCAAGTATTTCAGAATAGTGTATATTCATGTCTGCAGTCTCCTAACCTCAGCATATGACAGCTACCTCGCTGAGAGAGCTCCAGCTACCAGATTTCTAACTGAGTTTTCTTTGTTAATCTCGTGTTCTTCCATTTCCCGCCCCCCTGTCAATTTAGGCCAATCACACATGCTCTTTACATTTATTTTGATCTTGAGTCTTCCAGTCCGTACCAGTCATGACTTGCCTCTGGTTCTCATTTTCCCTTCCCTGTTTCAAGCAACTTAAAGCTCCTTGGCCTTTTGGGGTTTGTTACAGCTCTGCTTTGCTTTGGATGATGTCTGTAATCCCAGCCTTGGTGCTCTGGACTGTGTGTGTGTGTGTGTGTGTGTGTGTGTGTGTGTGTACATATATACATATAAAATACATATTTTATATATATAACCAGGTCTGTCCGGTCTAGAATTAGGGCTTTTATCATTAGGACTTAGAAACTGATTTAAGGGAAACTTTAGCATTATCTACTTAAATCATGGATAGTTAGGGATCAAGGAGGGAAAAGAAGAATAATTTTCATGGACTAGGGAAGCGGTGCTCTATGTTCCTGAGGCACAGGTACAAGTGGGAAGGTTAGTTAATGAACCGGTGATGCCACACGTTTTTCTCACACCTGCTGCAGACAAGGCCCTATTCAAAGACAGAAGATAGAGCAGAGAATGTGAAACACAAAGTCCATGCTCCCAAGAGGCTTCTACTCTAGGAGAGGATTCACAGCATTAAACAACTAAGCAGAAAATTAATTATGCCACTCAGATGGGACTCTGTTCAGTTCTGCAGAATTTTATACCCATCATTTCCCATGTTTATTGTCCAAAATATACCTGGCTATTAAATATTCTCTATTCTTTAGGACTTAAAGGTATTTTTAAAAGAAAAAACTTAAGGTATGATTTCTAATCTTTTATCTGTGCTTTTTAAAAAATATTTTTGTTTGTTTTGTTTTTGAGACAGAGAGAGACAGAGGACCAGTGGGGGAGGGTCAGAGAAAGAGGGAGACACAGAATCTGAAGCAGGCTCCAGGCTCTGAGCTGTCAGCACAGAACCCGATGCGGGGCTCCAACCCACGAACCACGAGATCATGACCTGAGTGAAGTTGGACGCTTAACCAACTGAGCCACCCTGGTGCCCCTATCGGTGCTTTTTACTAGTTAAAAATGCTTTTCAACTTTTCGATGAACATAGTGTAAAGGTATCTTTTTGTTTTTATATTTTTTTTTATTTTTATTTTTTTAAATATTTTTATTTATTTCTAGGAGAGAGAGAGAGAGAGAGACAGCGTGAGCAGGGGAGGGTCAGAGAGAGAGGGAGTCACAGACTGTAACAGGCTCCAGGCTCTGAGCTGGCAGTCAGCACAGAGCCCGACGCGGGGCTCGAACCCACGAAGCGCAAGATCATGACCTAAGCGAAAGTCAGATGCTTAACCGACTAAACCACCCAGGCGCCCCTGTTTTTGTATTTTTGTTTATCCAACTCTTTTTAAATTCATTCCAAAGGTATTGTTTCCACTTTTTGGCTATTATAAATAATGCTGCTGTAAACACTCATGTACAAGTTTTTGTATTAACTTCCATTTCCATTTTTCTTTTTATTTATTTTTTCCTTAAATAGTTTATTGTCAAGTTGGTTTCCATATAACACCCAGTGCTCATCCCCACAAGTGCCCTCCTCCATGCCCATCTCCCCCCTTCCCCTCCTCCCCACACTCATCAGCCCTCAGTTCTCAGCATTCAAGAGTCTCTCATGGTTTGCCTCACTCCCTCTCCCCCACTATTTCCCCCCTTCTTCTCCCCCATGGTCCTCCGTTAAGTTCCTCCTAGTCCTCCTATACGTGCAAACATATGGTATCTGTCCTTCTCTGCCTGACTTATTTCGCTCAGCATAACACCCTCAAGTTACATCCATGTTGCTACACATGGCCAGAGTTCCTTCTTTCTCATTGCCATGTAGTTTTCCATCGTATAGATAAACCACATCTTCTTGATCCATTCGTCCGTTGATGGACACTTTGGCTCTTCCCATGCTTTTGCTATTGTTGAGATAGCCATTTGGCTATGAACACTGGGGCACATGTGGCCCTAGGCATCAGCACTCCTGTATCTTTTGGGTAAAATCCTAGCAGTGCTATTGCTGGGTTACAGGGGAGTTCTGTTGTTAACTTTTTGAGGAAACTCCACACTGTTTTCTAGAGGGGCTGCACCAGTAAATGCATCTTAAAAAGAAATAAATATTTAAGATATGATGTGTAGTCTTTTCTCACTGCCTTTTGCTGTTAAAAAACTTTTTCAACATTTGGACTCACAGCATGTTATTAGGTCTTAGATTTCTCGGGTGTCAAGGACCAGCTATGGGTCTGTTGTGAGAAATTTCTTATTTCTTAACTCCTGAGTGATCTCAGGGTCCTGTTTCTGTTTGTCATGTCATTTGGAGGGATGGTATCAGTTTGTCTTTTGCAGTATATAGAGTCTTGCTTTTAGGGGTAGAATTAAGTACACAGTGAACGAGTATAACCTGTGAAGAAAATGATGTTGCCTTCCTGGGCTTGTAAGTGTCGCTGTTGTGTGTGTGGTGGTGAGATCACGTTAGCTCTCTGCCTCCAGGTGCTCAGCCAATGGAGAACTGATCATGGCTGCCTAGAGAATGGTTCTGAGACGAGGCTCAGACTGGGGCTCATCTGAAGAGAAAGCTATGATTTTTAAGTGAAATCTGTGGGCAGGGAAGGAGCTTGTACTGTATGTGTCTGGAATTTTCCATTCCCTATCTATTGGCTCCCTAGGAATGGCTTGACCTTGTGGCTTTGATTTTAATTTCCTTCCAGGTATAACGATCATTTATTTTATTCTGAATAGAATATTTTAGACACAATTTAAATAATCTAGGTCTTCTCACCATTCCTAATGAAGTTACATTGCTGTTATTCCCAAGTAGGATCCCATTCAGCCTGCGGTCACTGGCAGGTTCTCCCTCTTCGTGCACAAAGAAGGAAAACTGTTACTACTAACTGCTAACTTATATGTCTTGAACTTAGGAAAGAAAGGTATGGTCAGAGCAGAACTCTTGCATTTATGTACATATGTTTTTTAAAAGTTACTTTATGCATTTCACTGTAGCCTTTGGCATTTTTTTTTCAATCTAGAATTTCTGGGCGTTCTTCCGTTCAGTTTAGAATAAAATTATTAAAGCGTACTGAGTGTGTGTGTGCGCACTCTTATGTGGAGTCTAGGTCATACGATGGAATATTTCTGGTGGGATGTGAGCAATATAATTTGAAAGTCACCATTCAGACCACACCCTTTGTATTTAATATTTATTTTTGAGAGAGAGAGAGAGCAGGGGAGGGGCAGAGACAGAAAGGGAGACAGAGAATCTGAAGCAGGATCCAGGCTCCAAGCTGTCAGCACAGAGCCCGACGCGGGGCTCAAACTCAGGAACCGCTAAATATGACCTGAGCTGAAGTCCCGATGCTTAACCGAGTGAGCCACCCAGGTTGCCTTTATGTAATCATAGAACCTTAGAGAATAAAATAGAGTTTCTTCCTGCTTACTGACTTGACTTCTGTCATCAGTCTCATCACGTCCAATCCATGTGATGCTTTGACTGTTTGAGTAAAACTTTGGAAGGTAGGAATTTGAGCTGGGGTCGTAGGGCCTGTTAAAAGGCCTGCCGCACTTGCGGAGCAAACACAGCGCTTGCGCCCGTACCTTATGAATGCCCACGGCACGTGACCTGGTGTGTACCCGCGTGGAGGTCAACCCCTAATAACCCGGGTAGCTCTGCAACACTGGAGGAGTGAAGTACTGTCGTTATTCCTCATCCTTTGAGCAATTTTTTTTTTGTACAGAAACATTGATTATGAGATTGGTGATAATGAAATACAGCTGAGAAAGTGGAATGTTACCGTAAAAACCGACTACAAACATATACACAGGTAACTAAATAATTTTATTTGACATCGGATTGCAGTCTCATATATTTGCATCGTAACTAAAAATGGCCTCTCGGGGAAACTGTCCATAATGGCACGCGGGTTCAGCTGGTGCCCCTTTATTCTCCGCTTCAAATCTGACTCCTGCTCTGTCTTAACGCCAGGGAGGAAGAGCTGCCGCCGCCTCGCAGCAGAATGGGGACGTGTATACATAAAACATGGCAGGGGCGGGGGGAGACGTGTCACGGCTTGTATGGCGACGTGTGTTTTGGTAAATCATTCAGCAAAGGGTAAGGAGAGAAGCAGCTCTCGCTGGAAATAGAGACGGGCCCCAGGGCCCCAGGTGGTTTAAGCTGCGGAGTCGGCAGCCCCGTGCACGGTCTGCCTGGTAGCGGGCCTCGACTCGGACTGTGGGAAGGAAGCTCAGGCACCAGCCGTCCAGCCCCTTCCACTTTCTGGCTAAGGAGCAGGGTCAGGGAACTTGGGTGAACGGCTGGACGGGGACAGAAGCTTTCCGACCCGGATCCTTCGGACACGCTGTTCACTTCTCCCCATAGGTTGTCAAACCCATTTCCTGGTCCTCTGCATACACCTGGGGTCTGTGAGCGACTGCTTTTTCAGTCTGAGTAACGTTGGAAACAATTCCGATTTTGTGCGTAAATGTCCTCCGCACCACGTTTGCAGGCCCGGCTGTAATTCTGAAGAGGGTGGTTTTCAGCTGTCACTCCGCTAAAGGGTAGCACGCTCACTGCGGGGCTGAGCTGGGGTGACTGTGTCAGTGGGGCTTTCGGAACGGTCATTTACCTTTCATCTGGAGCTTACGTAACTGCCTGTTTTCAAATTTAATATCAGGTCGATGCTTCTTGATTTATTTTTAAGAGATAATACCAAGACAGTAATGAGGTCAGGGTGAAATGGTGCACTTCCAACATCCCAATCGGAAGGCAAGTCTTTCCCATATTATACAGAGGAATCTAGCATTAATAGACACTCAGAAGTAGCCTTTGGTGTACGGATCTAAGGATGGGCAGAAGAAGGCTTATCTGTTGGACACCAACAACCCGCAGCAGAGAACTTTCTCAGCTCCATAATTCAAAACAATTTTCTAGGATAAATGGAATGACTAATTATATAACAGTAGTCAGTACCAAATGTTACTAATGATCCACATTAGTTTTCCAATTGGATGTCATAGAGCTTATTTACTTTGTTAACAAATAATGACTTTTCCTCCCTCCCTGTAAAACTGAGATCTGCCATTTGTGTTATCTGGATTATCTAAACATCAATATCTTTAAAACTAGTGGGCTTCCCACGGAGAGGTTTCTATTTCCGTAAACTGAGGTGAGCTGTTCTTGTTGAGCAAGAAGTCAGTGGCAGATGAGGTGAACCAGAGGCACAGCTGTGGACACCAGGTGCCAGGTCAGTTTTTGATGGCCATGGTCCAGAGGAGTGGATGGTCCGTTTCCACGGTCACGACACCAGATCCATCGTAGGTATTGGAGGTACTGACCAGTGTTCCAAAACCAAGCACATTATTTGCTGTAAGAAAATGATAAAAAAATGTTTAGTGACAGCCAACTTTTCTCAGGTGTGAAAGAACTTTGTCAACAGTCACCAGAAGAGTAGTTAAGCTTGTGCTTCAGATATATACATATATATGTATATATGTGAGAGATGATACATAAAATGCAGGATGGGTGAAACATACGATGTGGGATTTTAAAACGGACAATGTCTAGAGTTTGCCATAACCACTTTTCTGGTAGCCAGTTACTGGTTGTTAACCATTCTGGGATATATGCCATTCTCGTACAAAATTTCATTAAACTTTCTAATTTTTTTTTTCATTACAGACGGTAAAACCAAAACTCATTTTGTAATGTGCTACTTGCTTCCATGCCTGGGTGCAATTATAATTTTTCTTGATGATTCTGAATTAACATTTTATATAAGTTATTAAACTCTATAGAGTTTTAGCTTCAAGTGTGAATGATATGGGGCGGAAAGCTAATTACTCCAAAAAGGCATGGGGTTTTGGTTATATTTTTCTCATAAATTAAGAAAAACCAAAATGAGCCAGGCTTGCTTTGTAAAATTAATAGGAACTCAAAGGTCAAGGCAGATTCCAACGGGGGTAATTCTTTTTTAAAAAAAAAAAAATTTTTTTTTTAAAATTTATTTCTAGGAGAGAGAGAGAGAGAGACAGCGTGAGCAGGGGAGGGTCAGAGAGAGAGGGAGTCACAGACTGAAACAGGCTCCAGGCTCTGAGCTGGCAGTCAGCACAGAGCCCGATGTGGGGCTCGAACCCACGAACCACGAGATCATGACCTAAGCGAAAGTCGGACGCTTAACCGACTAAGCCACCCAGGCACCCCAAGGGGGGTAATTCTGAGGCCATAAGCCCAGCTGTAAACTGAGGCCAGGAGAGGAGATAATCTATTTAATTATCAAAGTAAAGGTTTAGGAGTTGAGTGATAGAATTAGAATCGGCTTATCAATTCCATGTACATATTTATGTGTATCTGTATATATATGTTCGAATAGGTGAGCTGAAGTTAATGCCTCAGTATTAACTGGTTAAATCTTACTTCCCTTTACTTATGGAAGAGCCGTTCACATCATCAACAGGACTCTAAACTCATGACTTGTCCTATAAATATCCCATGATAATCAGTATTATTTTCTTTGCCAAAGTTCAACGAGAAAAATGGAAGAGTCACCTTTTCCTTTAAACAAAGTGTAACCATGAAGTTATCCTGCCCTGGGGGAAATAATTGTAATGCTCGCTGCCCACTAGAGGGCGCTTGTTATCTTTATGAGGAAATCTGGAAAAGGCCATTTAAAAATTCAGAAATAGCATTACAGGATAATGTATAATTAGTATTACCGGTTAACACAGTTTATTTATTTAAAACTCAAATTGTTTGCTTTTTGGAGTTGTAAACGCCTCTACTACTGCAAACACCAAGGTAAAACTGTCTAAGGGTGGAGTGAGGCTCGTGTGGATATCACCCTCATACATAATTCCGTAGAAGCTCTGGCCTCTTAAGTAACTGGGAATTTTGAGATGAGATTTCTAAAGGGCATTAACATGCACAGGAATGTACTAATCTAGACACAGTTATGCGGATAGGGGGTTAGGGGAGGCGGGTGTGGATTCACGGCCAAGTCTCCTTGGGATCTGTTGGAGAAAGGTCTTGGCCTTGCTGCAGGGCGGCCACGCCTGCAGCCAGGTGTGCACAGGTATCTTGGGGCTCCTGGTGCAGGCGAGGGTTCTCCCAGTGTCCCACGGGGTAGACTCGGGACGTGTCAAACCATTTATTCATGAAGACAATCTGGAACGCGTTTGTGGGCCTGCCAGCTTACACGACCACCTGAATTTGACGCAGTGCCCTTTAACAATCTGGAAAATGATTAGTTTAAAATCCTGCTTTTCCCATGGGCTCCAAGGACAAGTGGATGAGACGATTTCTCTAGCTTGACTTGCATATAAATTCCTTTCTGATTTTCTGAAGGCAGACTATCAATTTTGATGATCAGGGCTAGACACTTAGGTTATATACATTGGTTTCCCTAAGACATTAGTTCTTAGCAGGGGAAAGAGTGAAAATTGTTTCAATCCCATCATGAGGGCCCCCACCCTCCTGACCTGATTCAACTCTAATCTCTTCCCAAAGATTCCCACCTGCAAATACCATCACTTTGGGGGTTTATGGCTTCCACCTATGACTTTTAGTGGAGCACATTCAGTCAATATTAATTACAGTAATTAATTGACTGTACAACAGTACAGTCAATATTAATTAAAAGTTACAGTGAAATATAATTGATAGTCTCCAACCTTGTGGACACGACGAATAAGCTGAAATACAAAATCATGGTTTTCAATTTACTATGTTACTACAATTATTTTGGAAAATATTTCTTCAAGTCAAAGAATCATGCTTTTTGACCAAACCTTAAAGTCTTCCTTATGAGAAAAAAGTCTTTATGGCAGAATAATATTCCACTGTGTGTATATGTATGTGTACAGTATACACACACACGTACATACACAACTTCTTTATCCATTCATCCACTGACACTTAGGCTGTTTCCCTTTCTTGGCTGTTGTGAACAATGCTGCTAGAGAACATGGCATGCAGATTTCTCTTCGACATTGTGTTTTTGCTCCCTTCAGGTATGTTGCCAGAATGGAACTGCCGGATCATATGGTAGTTCTACTTTTAATTTTTTAAGGAAACTCCATACTGTTCTCCAAAGTGACTGCACCAACTTACATTACCACTAATAACATACAAGCATTCTTTTATCTCTAAAACCATGCCAGCATTTGTTGTTGTTATTATTTTTATTATTTTGATGGTAGTCACTCTACCAGGTGACAGGTAATAGCTCATTGTGGTTTTGATTTGCACTTTTCTAATCATAAAAAATACTGAGCACCTTTTCATACAAGTTTTGGCCATCTGAATATCTTTGGCAAAATGTCTAATCAGGTACTTTGACCATTTTGATTAGATTATTTGCTTTTTTCTTCTTTTTGGTAATGAATTATGAGTTTTATACTTTGGAAATTAACTCCTTATCAGGTATCTGGCTTGCATATATTTTTTTCTCCTTTTCATTGGTTGTCTTTTCATCTTGTCGATTATTTCTGTTGTTGTTGTGTGGAAGGCTTTAGTTAGATGCACATGTTTGTTTTTTTAATTTGTTGCTTGTGCTTTAGGTGTCATATTGAAAACATCACTGCCAAGACCTTGTCCAAGCAGTTTTTCCCTAGCTTTTCTTCTAGGAGTTTCATGGCTTCAGGATTCATGTTTAAGTCTTTAATCCATTTGAGTTAATTTTGGGGAGTGGTTTATGATAGGAGTCTAGTTTCATTCTTTCACATGTGAATATCCAATTTTCTCAGTACCATTTACTGAAGAGATGGTCTTTTCTCAGTGGAGTACTCTTGGATCCTTTGTCAACTATGAGTTGATTGTATATGTGGGGATTTAATTCTGGGTTCTTGATTATGTTCCATTGGCTCATGTGTGTATTTTTTATGCCAGTAACCTATTGTTTTGTTCCTATAGCATTATAATATAGCTTGAAATCAGGAAGTGTGATGGCTCCAACTTTGTCCTTTTTCGGGATTGCTTTGGCTATTTCAGGGTCTTTTGTTGTTCCATATGAATTTTAGGATTTTTTTTAAAACTCTTGTAAAAAGTGCCATTGGAATCAATAGGGATTGCATTAAATCTATAGATAGCTTTGGATACTATGACATCTTAAGACTATTCCTCCAATCCATGAACATGGTATAACTTCCCATTTGTGTCTTGTTCAATTTCTTTCATTAATGTCTTGTAGTTTTAGTGTAGAGATCCTTGAAGTCTTTGGTTAAATTTATTCTTAAGTATTTTATTGTTTTTGATGCTATTATATAAATACACTCATTTCTTTCTTTTTCAGATAACTCAGTATATAGGAACACTACTGAGCCCCAAATCAGTAGTGTTTCTATATACTGAGTTATCTGAAAAAGAACAAAATGAGCCCATTCATATAATAGCATCAAAAACAATAAAATACTTAGGAATAAATTTAAGCAAAGACATAGAGGAGGATTAGGAGGAACTTAACAGAGGACCGTGGGTGAGAAGAAGGGGAAAATACTGGGGGGGGGGGGGGGCAAACCATGAGAGACTCTTGAATGCCCAGAACAAACTGAGGGGAAGGGGGGTGATGGGCATGGAGGAGGGCACTTGTGGGGATGAGCACTGGGTGTTATATGGAAACCAACTTGACAATAAACTATTAAAAAAAATAGAAACACTACTGATTTTTGTATGTTAATTTTGTAACCTGCAATTTTGCTGAATTTGTTGATCTAACAGTTTTTTGGTGGAGTTTTTAGGATTTTCTGTATAGAAAATCATATCATCTGCAAATCTACAGTTCTACTACTTCTTTTCCAATTCTAGTGTCTTCTATTTTGCTTAACTGCTTCTTCTAGGACTTCCAATACTGTGTTGAATAGGAGTGGTGAGAATTGGCACCCTTGTCTTCTTCCTGATCTTGGGAAGGGCTTTCAAACGGTCACCACTGAGTATGATGTTAGCTGTGGGCTTGTCATATATGGCTTTTGTTATATTGAGATATGTTCTTTCCATACATTTGTTAAGAGTGTTTATTATGAATGGGTGCTGAATTTTATCAAATGCTTTTTCTGCATCTACTGAGATGATCATATGATTGCTTTTCTTTCATTCTGTTAATGTGATGTGTCATTGATTTGTGTACGTTGAAACATCCTTGCATCCCAGAGGTAAATCCCCTATGATTATGGTGAATAATCCTTCTAATATGCTGCTGAGTTCAATTTGCTAGTAATTTCATTGAAAAGTTTTGCATGTGTATTGGGGGTACTAGTCTGTAGTTTTCTTGTAGTGTCCTTATCTAGCTTTGGTATCAGGGTAATGCTGGCCTCAGGATGGGGGTGTTTTCACCAGTTTGATTAAAGTTGTTGACAGTTTTTTTTTTTTTTTTTT